CTCAGCAAAAAGAGGAGGATTGGCAGTAGTTACCTCAGGGTTAATCTTCCTCAATAAAAAATTAATTAAAAAAAAAAGAGAGAGACAGAAAACATAAGAAGGAATCAAAGAGAAATACTGGAGCTGAAAAGTACAGTCACTGAAATGAAAAATTTACTAGAGGAATTCAAAAGCAAATTTGAGCAGGCAGAAGAAACAATCAGCAAACTTGAAGACAGAACAATAGAAATTACAGAGTCTGAGTGACTAAGAAAAAAACAGTTGAAGAAAAGTGAACAGAGTCTAAGGGACCTGTGGGACACTGTCAAATGGACCAACACATGCACTATGGGAGTTCCAGAAGGAGAAGAGGGACAGAAAGCAGAAGAGAGTATATTTGAAGAAATAATGGCTGAAACTTCACCAAATTTGGTAAAAGACATAAATATAAACATCCAAGAAGCTCTATGAACTCTAAGCAGGATAAACTCAGACACTCACACCAAAGCACATTATAATCAAACTGTCAAAAGCTAAAGACAAAGAAAAAAATCTTGAAAGTAGCAAGAGAGAAGCAACTCTTCACATATGAAGGATCTCCAGTAAGATTATGAGCAGCTTTCCCCTCAGAAACTTTGGCATCCAACTCACTAGAGGAGATATATTCAAAGTGATGAAGGAAAAAATGGTCAACCAAGAATGCCATATTCGGCAAAACTGTACTTTCAAAAGTGAGGGAGAAATTAAGATATTCCCAGATAAAAGTTGAGGGAGTTCATTACCACGAGCACTGCCCTACAAGAAATGCTGAAGGGTGAAATGCTTGAGGTGGAAATGAAAAGACACTAGATAATAACTTGAAACTGTATGAAGAAATAAAGATTTCCAGTAAAGGGAAATACATGGGCAATATTAAAAGCTAGCATTATTGTGACTTTGGTTTGTAAATCCACTTTTTCTTCCTACATGACTTAAGAGGCTGACATAAAAATTTATCAGTCCGTGGTTTTGGACACACAATGCATAAAGATGTAATTTTATGACATCTTAACTTAAAAAGGGTGGGGATGGGGCAGTAGAGAAGCAGTTTTTATATATTACAAAAGTTAAGGTGGTATATATCCAAATTAGAGTGTTATAACTTTAGGATGTTAAATGTAATCTCTATGGCAGCCACAAAGAAAATAGCTATAAAATATATACAAGGAAGTTAAAATATTTCATCACAAAAAATCAACTAAACACAAAAGAAGACAGTAATGCAGACAATGAGGGACATAAAAACTATAAAGCAGACAGAAAATAAATAGCAAGGTGATGGAAGTCCCTCCTCGTTAGTGTTTACTTTAAATCTAAATGGATTAAACTTTGCAGTCAAAAGGTCGAGAGTGGAAGAATGGATTAAAAAAATGATCCAACTATATGCTGTCTGTAAGAAACTTTAGATCCAAAGACACAAATATGTTGAAAGTGAAAGGATGGATAAATATATCCCACACAAATAATAACCAAGACACAGTAGGGGTGAATGTACCATTATCAGACAAAATTTGTTTAAAAAAGGTTCCCAGAGGTGAAAAAGCACATTATATATTAATAAAAGGTTCAATATAGCAAGAAGAAATAACAACTACAAACATTTATATAGCTAATAAATCTAAATATAGGACCATCAAAATATGTGAAGCAAAATTAGACAGAATTAAAGGGAGAAATAGTTCTACAATAACAGTTGGAGACTTCAATATCCTACTCTCAGTACAGGAGAGAACAACCAGACAGAAGGTAAGTAAGCAAACAGAGGACAACACAATAAACCAACTGGAGCTGACACACAGTACACTCTACCCAACAAGACAGATGACATTCTTCTCAAATGCACATGGAACATTCTCTATGATACACCATGTGCTGGCCACAAATTAAGTCACAATAGATTTAAAAGATGGACATCCTATCAAGTGTCTTCTCCAACCACAATGGGATGAAGTTAGAGAGCAGAAGCAGAAGAAAACGGGAAAATTCACAAATTTGTGGAAACTAAGCAACACACTTTTAAACCACCAATGGGTCACAGAAGAAATCACAAGGGAAATTAAATTATAAAATACTGACAGATAAATGATAACAAAAATACAACATACCAAAATTTATGGGATGCAGTGAAAGCAGTGCTAAGGGGGAAATTACAGCCCTAAACATTTCCGTTAAAAAAGAAGAAAGATCTCAAATCCAAAGTCTAACTTAATAACTTAAGGAACTAGAAAAAGAACAAACTAAACCTAAAGCTAGCAGAAGGAAGGAAACAAAATGTTAGAGCAGAGATAAATAAAATAGAGAATAGAAAAACAGAGAAAAATCAATGAAACCAAAAGTTGGTTCTTCGAAAAATAAATTGACAAACTTTTAGTTAGACTGACTTAGAATAAATGTATAAAGGATGAGGGAATAGAAAATAATTACAACACCACAGTAATAACTTATGTGGACAAGATCCACCGGCGGATGTCAAAATTAGCAGGAAGAAGAAGAGGGATATTTGCATCGTCTCAGAGTATTTCATCTAAAATATTTATTAATTATAAAGAGAAAAATAGTAAGTGTACAGTGGAGAAACCTGGGAAACAACACTTCACTCAAGTAATCAAGATTAACGACAAGAGCAATAAGACATACGGACATCATTTACTCTTTGATATGATGCTCTTACAAGGGCACATTAGGATTCAAACTCTCGGTGTTGTCAGACTCTGAAACGTCATACTGCTAATCATTTTGCTGTGAATAAGGCTGTTTTCTTTCAAGAAACTGATAAATGGACTTGTCGGGGAAAGCAGCAAGGAACTACATCCATCAGGATATTCTATCCATTGTAAAATATACCCAGTTCTGCACAGTCATTGAGAAAAGCATAACTAATTAGTGAGATAAGACAGGATCCAAGTGAGGCTAAGGGATAAACGGAAAAAGAGAATGAAAATATTTCCTGATGCTTGACACATAGTAGGTAATAATAATAGTAATAATAATAGTAGCAAATATTTATAAGAATATATATTTATTTTCATTTAACACTATTTTAATTCAATTTTATTTAATAATAATGCAATTAAATTTATTTTACAATGATAGCAAATGCTACTACATTTATCTATTCATTCATTTAACCCTGAGAACAAGCTTATGAGATGGGGACTATGATTATCCCCATTTTGCAGATGACAAAACAAAGGCATAAAAAGCTGAGTAATTAAGTTAGGGATATTTTAGTAAGTGGCAGAGTCTACTACACTATACTACCTCCCAGAAAATATCAGTTTAATTAATAATAAGTGGCAAGTACTATGCAAAATACTTTAAATATCCTAATCCTCATAATATTCTTGTGCAGGAATTTTTTTTTTTTTTTAGGAAGATTAGCCCTGAGCTAACATCTGCTGCCAATCCTCCTCTTTTTGCTGAGGAAGACTGGCCCTGAGCTAACATCCATGCCCATCTTCCTTTACTTTAGATGTGGGATGCCTACCACAGCATAGTGTGCCAAGCAGTGCCATGTCCGTACCCGACATCCGATCCGGTGAACCCTGGGCCGCCAAGCGGAACGTGAGAACTCAACTGCTGCGCCACTGGGCCGGCCCCCAGGAATTCTTTTTACAAATTAAATTTTCCATCTGCAAACACGAAGGCTCTGCTGGGCTGTTCAACAGGTGCAGGCTATTCAGCACGCCTGGCCTCTACCTGGTACCTGGCAATAGTTTCCCTCCCCCTGAGTCATTGGGATAAGCAAATGTGCCCCCCACAAACACTTTCAAATGTGCCTAAGGGAGCAGTACTCCCCAAAAAACTGGCTGTTAAAGGTCATTAGGTGGAAGATGCAAAGCTGGGATATGAGCCCAGGCCTAACATGCCTCCAAGGGCAATGTTCTCTCGAACACCAGACACTGACTTGAGAAGAAGTTGAGAGTGAAACAAATGTGCAAAGATGGGGGTAGCACAGCTTCACAACGTGTGTGGAGCAATATACTCCACATGAGGAAACAATACACGCAAATAACTGAAGGTTAAAGTAGTCTACAAAGTGTAACAACAGTACTATATGCCATTTGTTGAATTAAGCAAGACAGAAAACATGGGCAACTTTGTAAAGTATATCAAATTTGTCTATTGAGGGAACTAGGATTCAATTCAGAACAGTGAGGGCCAGCCTGGTGGTGTAGTGGTTAGGGTCACATGCTCGGCTTCAGTGGTCTGGGGTTCACAGGTTTGGATTCTGGGTACAGACCTATATACCACTCATCAAGCCATGCTGTGGCGGCGTTCCACATATAAACTAGAGGAAGAGTGGCATGGATGCTAGCTCAGGGCCAATCTTCCTCAAGCAAAAAGAGAAAGATTAGCAACAGATGTTGGCTCAGGGCCAACCTCCCCCTCGCCCCAGACCCCACAAAAAAGAACACCCTTCATCACCATGTTAATTATCTGTATACGTCTAAGCTGAATAAAGTTATCGGGGAGGGGATTAAGGCCTCCTGAAAGAATTTCAAAGTATCATTTCTTTTAGTTTCATTATTCCAGTATTTTCCAATCTATTAAAATGCTCTTCCATGCAACGTCATACAAGCTGGATAATTTATGGTTACAAATCATCTACACTATTTGAATCACTCTCACTTATTAATAAGAAATTCAGAATGTTGGGGGAAAATATGAAAAAGCAACACTAGAGTAATCAGTGATATAGGTCACAAATAAATAGTGAAAACATTCTCCCAAACACACATAGAATACTTCTATCTCCTCAAAAGAGCTTCAGTATATAAAATTCAGATAATATTACAAACTTTTGAAAGATTTAACATTATAAATAAATATTAATATACAGATTACTGTAGCAGTAGGCTACAATCAACATTTTGGTTATTTAATCAAATTTCTGCACTTTAGTCATGTGCATGCATGAGCACACACACATGCATACAATGCAAACAAAAGTTTAGTAATCAACTCTAGTAACTAATTACCTTTGCAATAATAACTTCTTTCTTCAGAATCTTCATAGCATAATATTTCCCACTTGCCTTCTCTCGAACCAAAATAACTTTCCCAAAAGTGCCTTTACCTAGTAGTTTCAAATAGTCAAAGTCATTCATTGTCTGAAAAATACAAATTAAAAAATACAATATGAAACATTTGATGTAATTTATTTGTAAACATATATGTATACATTTGCAAGATTCACTCAAAAGTAAATTTTCCCAATTTCTAAGCACCCTTAAATGAATTACCATTGGACCGGCATTACTGTCTCATCAGCAATCATGGACGCCGGAAATAATTTAAGCAATTCTCAGATACTGGAGAACTGTGAACCTAGAATTCCTCAACTAGTCAAACTATCAGTCAAGTAGAAGGGCAAAGGGAAAATAAAATTATTTTCACTCACTTTCAAAGACGCAAGTTTTTAAGGATTTAGTAGTGCCACCATACCCAACCAACGTGAAAATCAAAAAGGTCCCCCTTAAACATTTCCAAATACACCAAAGGGAGCAGTACTTTTGAAGAAACTATTTGAGAACGTACTCCAGCAAAATAAGGATAGAATCCTAGAAGGTAAAAGACGTGTATACGAAATGATGAAAATAATCCTAGAGGCCAGTGAAAAGAACTCTAAGAAAGAAAATAGTACGACTTCTGAGAAAGCAATCAGCGCAATTCAAAACAGGATGTCAGGGAGCTCTAAGAGTGCCTTTAACCAATCTGCCTGTTCTCAGTGTCATTTCTTATCCCCATTTCTGTGTCAGGTGAGTCCCAGGATTTTGCCAAGCAGACCTGCTGCTTGCTCTCTACAGCCCCCTCTGTGAATGCGTTCCTGCTCTGCTTTATTTGTGAACATTCTTCCACAAGCTTCCAAAATTTTGATATTGCTCATCTACTAATACTCTTCCTCTAGCCAGCTTTTCCTTTTTGTGAACTTGTCCCTCTTAAACATTTCTCTACTGTCATTTTAATGGGCTTTAAATGGAAGGGGAGACAACTGGGTATGCTCACTTTAGCATCTTACATTTAAAGTCAGTTTAAGGGGGGTTATGAACAACAAGCTAAGTCTCTGGGTCTGTAGACATTCAAAAGTTATTAAACATGTTCGTGCACTTTTATAACTATTTTTTTCTGTTTATCACTCATCTGAAGTAAATGTCTCAAATCAATGACCTTAGCTTCCACCTTAAGAAACCAGAAAAAGAGGACATTAAATCCAAAGAATTAGGATAAAGGAAACAATAAAGATCAGAGCAGAAATCAATTAAATTTTTAAAAGAAAGAAAAACAGTAGAGAAAAGTTGAGAAGATCAATAAAACTGATAAGCTTCTAGCCAGACTGGTTAGGAAAATAAAGACAGAAGATGCACATTACCAATATCAGGAATGAGAGAGGTGACATCACTACAGATTGTACAGCTATTAAAAAGACCACAAGGAATACTATATACCACTTTATTTCAATAATCGACAATGTACATGAGATGAACAAAACTCTTTGAAAGTCTCAAACTGTCAAGCCTCATTCAGAAAGAAACATTTAACCTGAATAGTCCTATATCTGTTGAGAAAATTCAATTCATGGTCAAAAACCTTTCAATAAAGAAAACTCCAGGACCAGATGGTTTCACTGGTGAAGACTACAAACATTTAAGGAAGAAATGATACCGATTCTATAAAAACTCCTACAGAAAACTGAAAAGGAGAGAATACTTCCCAATTCATTCTATGAGGCCATCATTACTCTGATACCAAAACCAGACAAAAATATCACAAGAAAACTACAGACCAATATCTGTCATGTAGATATACATAAAATTCTAAAGATTTCATGAATGAATGCTTACGTTCCTTATCAACATTATTTGCTACCTATGATTTTGATAATTTTTCCAAATGTCAAGTTATATATTAATGTCTTAACCCTTCAATAATGTCTCTAGTTCTAATAAAAAGCAGCAAAAGATATCAGAGGAAATAACAAAGTACACATTGATTCAACTAAAAATCAAACATGTAGCACTACATGTACAGAATATAGTTAAAGTGAGAGTCATTTGAACAAATAAGAGGTAATATTAAGTAATTCCATTTTGATTAGTAGATTTTTAAGAATCAAAGAACACTCTCTAACAACAAAGCTCTTTGTGTGAGGTAGTCCCCAAAGATGGCCGCCACCAATCCCCTGTGCGCACATGCCACTTCCCAGGACGAGAGGGAGTCACCTTTCCTTCTCCCTGGACTGGCCTTGCATCCGGCCTCGAACACAGACTACGATCAAAGGGACTGTGCCACTTCCAGACCTCGCCTTTAAGCCTGTCAGCTTACACTTTCTCCCTCTCAGAAAAGTCATTCTGAAATCCAGCTCTCATGCTGTAAGGAGTCCAGGCTATACGCTCAGAGGCCCTGGACAATGAGACAGCACTGCAGACAGGGACCACAGGGAGGAGGGGAGCCCGGGCTATCCGCTAGACAGAGGCCCTGGACGATGAGACAGCACTGCAGACAGGGACCACAGGGAGGAGGGGAGTCCAGGCTATCTGCTCAGAGGCCCTGGACGATGAGACAGCACTGCAGACAGGGACCACAGGGAGGAGGGGAGTCCAGGCTATCTGCTCAGAGGCCCTGGACGATGAGACAGCACTGCAGACAGGGACCACAGGGAGGAGGGGAGCCCGGGCTATCCGCTCAGAGGCCCTGGACGATGAGACAGCACTGCAGACAGGGACCACAGGGAGGAGGGGAGCCCGGGCTATCCGCTAGACAGAGGCCCTGGACGATGAGACAGCACTGCAGACAGGGACCACAGGGAGGAGGGGAGTCCGGGCTATCCGCTAGACAGAGGCCCTGGACGATGAGACAGCACTGCAGACAGGGACCACAGGGAGGAGGGGAGCCCGGGCTATCCGCTAGACAGAGGCCCTGGACGATGAGACAGCACTGCAGACAGGGACCACAGGGAGGAGAAGCAAGAATTGGCCCTGGGAGATGCAGCTGCCTGAGATCCATCTGAGCTGAGCAGAACTGCCCAGGCAACCCCCAAAATCATGAGAAATAACATACTAGTACTGCTTTAAGACATTAAACTGCAGTAGTTTAGGGGCTGGCCCGGTGGCCAAGCGGTTAAGTTCGCACGCTTCACCTCGGCGGCCCAGGGTTCGGATCCTGGGTGTGGACATGGCACCACTTGTCAGGCCACGTTGAAGCAGCGTCCCACATAGCACAACTAGATGGACCTACAACTAAAATATACAGCTACGTAACAGGGGGCTTTGGGGAGAAAAATTTAAAAAATAAATAAATAAATAAAAAATAACCCGGAGTATTTTATTGCATGGCAATAAAGAACTAAGAGACATTCTCCTCATAACTAGGTCATAATGTCCTTTTATTCCTCAAAACTTCATTTTCACAGGACCTTTCTCATTTTATATCTAAAAGCACTGTAAAATGATACCCGCTGTGTCCTAACACTAAATATCATATAAACTGAACCTGAATTCTTGAGGATAAAAATTAGAAAAGAATTTATAAATTGCTTTATGACATTTTCATAGGAAAAGCAATATATAATTATAAAATATTACATAATAATTATAAAATATAAAAAATAAAAATAATATAAAATATTATATATTTTAAGGAGTGCAATACTTAGGAACAAGGAGGTTTAAAAAAATATGATAGCCTTAACTTTCATCAGATAGAAGCCAAATAAGACGATGAATACCTCAAAATTTAACATTTCTCTGACTCTACTAACTTTTCTGTTTGGAGACTCAGTTTCAGTGGGAGAATTCTACAAGAATCCGCTTAAAAAATATACGTATGTTTAATTACCTTTGTATGGATGAAGTCCAACAATAGCTAATATTCACTGAGCACTTAGTATATAAGCACTTTACACATATTCCCTCATTTGAATCCTCACAACGACATAAATTAATCTCCCTTTTATAGAGGAAGACACTTTCCCCACAATTACACACATGGTGGAGCCAGAACTCGAATCCAGGCAGCAGACTCCAAGGACCTCACTTTCTATCACTATTCTGTAATAATGAAATTCTTCCGAGAGTGCTCTAATATAAAATGGGATTAACTAATAGCCAAACACTGTGTAAGTGCAACAGTTTGACAACATATTTTAAGAAATAGAGTACAATCATAATTTTGTTTCCAATATAACTTGGTTATGAATATAACAATTATAGAGATTATTAGAGGCTTAAGATACATGAATCAACAAAAAGAAGTAAGTTGCAGGCTGAAGTTGTTCAGTGTATAATTAAAAGTCCTCACAGGCTTGAACAAGATATTTAACTTCTCTGAATGTCAGATAACTCAACTGTAAAATGGGGTGATAAGAGTACCTACCTCAGACGATTCTTGTGAGGATTAAATGATAGTATATATAAAAGCACTGCTCAGAGCCTAGCACAAAACCAGCAGATAATAAATGTTCACAAGTGACAATTAGTGAAGATGGTAAATTCTAAGATATTCCACACTGGTAATTATGAAAAGAGGAAATGTATTACGTTTTTATAATCATTTATAAACAGCCTTAACAGAAAACATAAAATCCTCCATACTTTTCCATTTTTACATCTTTCAAAATGTTTGTCTCTCTTCACTGAAAGTTCTTCTGGTAAATTTACATATTCATTTCCAAAATTCTTCCATCCATCTGTAACAATATTTCTAGTTAGGGTGGTATAAACACCTCACTCTCAACCTCTAACTGCCTCAATAGCATCTTATTATTATTCTTTGTTATTAAGCAGAATTTTAGGAATTCCACAGAATTAAACAGGGTATAGCTGGTATAGCGTCTTACTAAATGGTATAGTAGATTTATAATTCAAAGGATGAGATTAACTAGGATCTGATTTTAAATTTATAAGCATAGTCAAATTTCAAGTTAATTGTGTACATTGCACATACACATGCAAAAGAAGTTTTCTTATCTCCGAGTAGGTGGGTAAAGCTAGATTGTTATTCTCTTTGCACTGACTGAGGAACAAGGGGGAGTGACTCAGAAAAAATAGGGATTCAGTTCAACTAATAAATAGAGGATATGTCTTCAAGGAAGACACAAAGGGTTCTCAGACATTGGCCAAGGTCAAGCATAGAGTATAATTCTAATTAGAACAGAAATTTCAGATGAGAAAATGATAATTAACCAATTCTAAGTTGTGACTGTGTAACTTCACCAAGTTCACACAGTGAACAGGTGGAAGAAGGAGGATTTGAACTCAGGCAGTCTACATCCAAAGAGTTCTTAATTACTGCGCTAATACCAAATTACATGGGTAATCACCTTAAAAATTAGTGTTTCCCTACCTGTGGATTAATTTACAATCTATTATAACAAATACATTCTCACATGAAAGATGGCATGCTCCTCTATTTTGAACACCTATATCCTTTAATCTTTTAATACCATTTTTTACATAAGGAAATTGCTTTTCAATTTTCTCTAGCAATGAAAAAGATAACTTACACTTCCCACAAACATATAAATTGGCACTTATTATTCTGGAGCACTGAGGGAAGGGAAAATCTATTTCCCTCATTGGCTCAGGAGCAGCCATTAAAATAAAAAGCTATGATTTCCAAGACTGTTCACTTTCCTGCTGACATTAGTGAGGTGAGGCACCAAGCAGGAAGTACACCAGAGCCATTTCTGCTTCTGCTTTCAGGAGCGCACAGAATGCCAAATGGAAAAGAACCAAATCATTAGGGAAAGCATTTTATTTCCAAACTTCTAAAATGGTATCAACAAGAATAGGGAAAAACGCAAATTATAAAGTAGTTTGGTGGCACATCAGCCATAACTTCCTAACGAGCCCTATCAGCATTCAGCACTAACCGCTGACCACTGAGATGATGCTCTAACTACTTGGTTTTAAACAACAACAGGTATTTCAGATTCACTGGAATAAAAACCACCACACCCATATTGTTCATATCATAAGATAATCAGCTAACAATCTGTGCAAATGGCAGTTTTATTATATTTCTTCCATAAACATAAGTGTGCTGAGTAGAGCAATAAGTTACTATTTCCCACCTTCCTTTTATGATGGGTTGTGGAAGCATCCATCTCTTCCTCCCCTATATTATCTATCTGTGAAGTTGGACTACAATTCATTCTCTCCTCTTCTTGCCTCTGAAGTCTGTCTGCTACAGCCTGGATAGCTTCTGTCCATTCTTCCCTATAAAACAAGTAAAATTTCCCATTAACAGAGGTTGGTAAACGACTCAAATATTTCCCTTTTATAAACTATGAAATCAACACAAATAAACTCTATTCCAGGATAATACGCACACATACACATAAATATATCTCCCATTCTTACTCCAAGATGAAATTAATCCTATAAGCGTTCTATATTACAGACCTAACGTCTGTAACACCATTTATTTGGATATATGTTAAAGAAAAAAAAGAAGACGAGAATTACAAGAAAATTCAGTTAAAATCCTTTAAATGTATAGTTAAATTTTAATTGTCTGTACATATCTTACCTATGAAGTAAATTGATCCCCATAAGTTTACTGCACTTTTTTAAATCTTTTGTTTAGCCATTGTAAGCCCATCATTGACATACTCAAGAACTTTACTGTGGTGCAACAGAAATTCTAAGAAAAGGTTTTCAAAGCCAAAACCTTTCACTGTTTCCAGATCCTAGATAAGTTCTTTTTGAAAAAAAAAAAAAACAAAAACGATAGGCATGAAGTTTGTAGCTTAAACAATAAGTCTTAGGAGCATGAGTATCAAGCTCTTATTTTTTGACAGCTGTGCTATCCGATCAAGAATCATTTATTTCCATATAAACTTTAAAGTCAGCTTGCTGATTTCTTAAGACAAAGCCTGAATTTGGAGTGGAATTACATGAACTCGATAGATCAATTTGGGGGAACTGTCGTCTTCATAAATTAAGTATTCCAATCCACGAGCACGGTCTGGCTCTCCATTTACCTACGTCTTTAATTTCCCAATGCAATGTTCTGTAACTTTCTCTGGAACAGTCCTGTGCATCTTTAATTGAATATATTCCTAAGTATTATTTTATGCTATTGTGGAGGCTTTAAATTTTAAATTTCTAATTTTTCTCGCTAGTATTTAGAAATATAGTTGCTTTGTGTGTGGTGACCTTGTATCCTGCTGCCTTACTAAATTCACTTATTAGTTCTGGAAGCTTTTATTTTTCTGGGTTTCCTACGTATGCAACCATGCTGTCTACGATACGAGCAGTTTACTTCTTCCTCTCCAATCTGTCTGCGGTTTACTCCTGTTCCTTGCCTTACGATGCCCTAGATCAGACCAATCACCTAAACACAAGTGATGAGAGCAGACGTTCTTTGTTCCAGATCTTATTAGGTATTGAGCCTTTCAGATTTGAGTATATGTAAGCGGTAGCTTTTCATAGATACCCTTAATCAAGCTGAGTAAGTTCCTTTCTATTTCTAGTCAGTTGAGTTTTTTTGTTATGAAAGGGTGTTGAATTTGTCAAACGCTTTTTCTGCATCTGTTGAAATGATCATGTAGTTTTTCTCCTTTCTCCTATTAATAGAGTGAATTTAGTTGAACGATTTTCAGATGTTAAAGCAACTGAACTTTTGGGATAGACTCCATTTGGTCATGATGCATTATCCCTTTTACGTGTTTTTGAATTTCATTTGTCAAAATTTTGTTAAGAAATTTTGCATCTATATTCACAAGCATATTGGCCTATAGCTGTCTCATTTCATGACAGTTTTGCCCAATTTCTGGAATAAGGGTGACAGTGGCCTTACAAAATGAGTTGGGAAGTGTTCTCTCCTCCATTATTTTCTGAAATAAATCATGTAGGATTAGTAATATCTGTTTTTTAAATGTTTGACAGAATTCACCACTGAAGCCATCTGGACCTGGAGTTTTCTTTAAAGAAAGGTCTTTAAATTACTAACTCAGTTCTGTTCATTGATACCGGGCTCTTCAGGTGTTCTAGGGTCAGTATTGGTAATCTGTGTCTTTCCTCTTTCGTTTTTCTCTAACAATCTTCCAAGATGTTTTCTAATTCTATTAACTTCTTTTTTCTCAAAGAACTAGCTTTGGTTTATTGATTTTTCTCTACTATTTTTCTGTTTTCTATTTCAATGATTTCTAATCTCTATTCTTTCCTTCTTTCTGTTTACTTTAATTTCCTCTACTTTTCTAGTTTCTTAAGTAGGAAGCCTAGGTTATGACTTAAGACCTTTCTTCTTTTCAAATATAGGCATTTAAGGCAACAAATTTCCCTCTAAGCTCTCATTTAGCTATATCCCACAAATTTTGATATGCTTTTTTTCATTATCATTCATTTAAAATCATCTTCTAATGGCCCTTGTGAATTTTGGTTTTGACCATATGATTATTAAGAGACATGTTGTTTAATTTCCAAATAGTTCTGAGTTTTTCTAGTTCACTTATTGTTATTGATTTCTAATCAATCCTACTGAGGCCAGAGACCATATTTTGTATAGTTTCAATCTTCCCAAATATATTAAGAATTGTTTTATGATCCAGAATATGACCTATCCTGGTGATGTACCACGTACATTTGAAAACAATGTATATTCTACTACTTTTGGGTGTATTATTCCATAAATATCAATTATATCAAGATGATTAATAGTGTTATTCTATGTCTTTGCTAATTTTTTGACTAGTTGCTCTATTGATTGCTGAAACAAATTTTAAAATCTCCACATATAGTTGAGGGATTGTTTCTCTTTCTCTTTTCAACACTGTTATTGCATGCATACATATTCATGATTGTAATATCATCTGGTTCAATTGACCATTTTATCATCATAAAGTATCCCCATACTCTCTAGGAATATATTTAATTTTGAAATCTGATATAATATAGCAAAATCTCCTTCTTATGCTTATTATTTGCATGACATATCTTTTCCAACCCATTTACTTCCAGCCCAGCTGTGTCTTTTTATTTACAGTGCATCTCTCATAGACAGCATGAGTGGGCTCGTATTTTCATCAATTCTGAAATGCTCTACTTCTTAATTACAGTGTTTAATCCATTAATATTTAATGCAATTTTTATATGATTGCACATGAGTCTACTATTTTACTTTTTTTCTATTTGTCTCCTCTTTTATTTTCCCTCTTTTCCTGCCTGTTTTTGTTTTACTATTTTATTTAAATTTTTCAGAATTCCATCTTAATTTTCCTGTTGTCTTTTCAGCCATGTTTTTTTTTTGCTGTATTTTTCCATACATCTGTAACTTTACATAGTCCACTTATATAATGCATTCTGGATCAATTAATTTTTTGTGATTCTGTTTCCACTCATATTAACCTGGTAGTCATCATACTCTTGCTTTCCTTTTAGCAGTTATCCTTGAAATTATAACATCATCGTCAACTTAGCAAAGTCTAAGATACTTTTAACTCTCCCCAGAAAATGCAGTGACATCATAAGACATTAGCTCCGTGCTTTCCTCAAACTCAATTTCTACGGCATTACTTCAGGGTTTTTTATTCTTCATATAATTAAACCACAAGATATATAATTATTATTATGAAAAAGATCAATATTCATTTGGCTTTATAGACTGATTTACCATTTTAATTCTTCCTGCATCTCTCCTCCCATCTGGGATTATTTTTATTCTGTCTAAAGAATAATCTATTAGTATTTCCTTTACTGCAGGTCTGCTGGCAACAAACTGTATCAATTTCTGACTGAAACTGATTTCATTTTGCTTTTAGTCTTGGAAGAAATTTTTGCTCATGAGCCCTATTTTCTTTCAGCACTTTGGAGATATCATTCCGTTATCTCCAATTATCGTTCTATTCCATATATTCCGTGTCAATTATTCCTGTTGATATAGCACCTTTTGTTCTAACTGCTGCTCCTTTGAAGGCAAAGTATCTTTTTTCTCTATCTTCTGTAAGGATTTTTCCATTGTCCTTTGTTTTCAAAAGTCTAATCGGACAAGGTGGGTTTTCTTTGTATTTTTCTGCATGAGATTTACAGAACTTCTTATATATATGATTTGATATTTTTAGCCATTTTGGAAAATTTTTGGCCATTATCTCTTCAAAAACTTTCCGTCCCATTCTTTCACTCTTCTTTCTTGAGACTCCAATTAGGTGTATGTAAGGCCTTCTCTCTGCATTCCCTACGTCTTACATTCTGTTATTTATTTATTTGTTTGTTTTTTAAGATTTTATTTCTTTTCTTTTTCTCCCAAAGCCCCCCTGTACATAGTTGTGTATCTTTCAGTTGTGGGTCCTTCTAGTTGTGGCATGTGGGATGCCACCTCAGTGTGGCCTGATGAGCAGTACCATGTCTGCGCCCAGGATTTGAACCGGCGAAACCCTGGGCCGCTGAAGCAGAGAGCACAAACTTAACCAGTTGACCACGGGGCCAGCCTCTTAATTTTTTTCAAGATTTAATTTTTTTCCTATGTTCTTACTTATTTATTTTTATTTTCTACCCTTTTCTCTCTTCATGTTTCATTCTGGATATTGTGTTATAACCTATCTTTGAGTTGAGTAATTTTCCCTAATACTGGCCTAATTTACTGTTAAAACCATTCACTAGCACTCAAATTTTAAATATTTTATTTTTCAAATTTACAATTCCAAATTTATTCATTTTTATAATTTCTAGCACTCTGATCAAGTTCCCAGCCTGAACTTTTATGTCCTTGAACATACTAACACACAGCCCTTTTCATCTCTGTCTGACAACTCCATCATCTGGGACCTCCATGAAGCCAGCTCTGTTGTCTTTATGGCTCTGTGGTTCTGGCCACACTGGATTGAATCTTTGTGTACTTGTTGATTTTTAATGAGTACTAAACAATGTGCATGAAAAAGTAAGAGAGAGTTTGAGGGCTAGGAGGATAAAATCTTCTTTTACAGTTTATATTTGCTTTTGACAGGCTCCTAGGAGACTAGCAAAAGGGGATCATGTTAACCAAACTTAAGGCCTGAAATAATCTAAAGCTAGACTTCAAATCTTAAAAGGTAAATCTGTATATAGTTCACCTTTCTTCTAGAGTATAATCCTTTAGAGGGCCAACCTCACGTGTAGTGATCTATTGTCCTGCTCTTTGGCAGGTCCTGGATTCCAGAATACGACCACCAGAGCTGACAGATACTCCAATCTCCCCATCGCAGACAGGTCTTCCAGAATTAGCAGGCACTCCTAGGGTG